AATTTTTAATTAAGGTGTTTGTTTTGAAATGTTAAACATTATTATCTTTCAGTTACTAATTTTTTGTTTTAATGTTTTTGACTCTGTTTTTTTTTTGGGGGGGGGGAGGTTTTTTTTTTTTTTTTTTTTTTTTTGTTTTTTTTTGTTTTTTATGCAGGTAATATAAAAAAATATACTCATTGATATGAGAAAGCAACATGTATCCATTACAATGAAATTATTAGAATCCAGGTCTATGAAATAAAAAAGTCTGATAAAAAATAATAAAAATGTGCATGTTGCATATGTGAATCCTTGTACAGTTGGCATTGTAACATTATTGTGAGAATATTATTCACACCTCAGCTAGCTCTGTTGTTTTGTACTGGGATAGACAGGCACCCCTGTGTGTGTACATGCACTATATACACAGCTGTTGACACTTGGTCAACTTGATAATAAACACCTTTTGTTTAAACACCTGTATTCCCAGCTAGTCTGACCAACCCCCCTCTGGCAGGGCATGTGTATATACACTGAACCTTTACTATTCTCAATTGTACAGTTATGCTTTACAGAATTTCATTTTAAAGGACGTTAGCACACACATAAGGAAAATATGAATTTTGATAATTTTGATAATTCATGACAAATTGATAAATAAAGACCTTTCAAATTAGTAATACCTGAAAATATTCATAGTTTCCTTATGTTCCCAGCTCTAGCCCACGTGAAGGCCTCCTTAATTGTAGAGCCATGATTAGAATTTCGAAACAGAAAAATATTAAAGCCAAAGGACCGAAAGAGGACCAAAAGATAAAAAGAAAATAAAAAAAACTTTTATTAAAAAGTCTTTTTACTTAAAACTTAAAGATACTGTATCATTATTCCTAGTCAATCTTTTGTTCAAATATAAAAATATTACAACCAAATGAAAGTAATATACATAAAATAAAATAACATTATAAAAATTTTAGAGAAAGGAATTTATAATTTTATTAGCAACATTTAAAAAAACAATTATATTCCTAACCTAACGTAACCCAACCTAACAAAACACCAAGCAGTATTCACTGGTCAGCACCCGTCTGGCGGGGGAGGAATACTGCCTGATACCAACCCTACTCTAAGTTCTAACCTTAATAAATAATTGAGCAAAGGATAGCTGATATTTAAAGACATGCATGTCACAAAGATTAAAAGTTTTGTAAACACCTAAAATTGTCTGTCCACTGCAACATAAAGTTTTAATGTCAGTAATTTCATCTTCTGTATATAGGATTAAACAGGGTGCTTTCCCCTGATCTCTAATGACTGCATGACTCCCTCAACTATTCCCCATATTACAAGGCACCCTGTACCCATCCAAGGTCCTGCATCAGCTCCGTCAAATCCAGCACCAATCCCGACAGCAGCTTCATCAATTCTTCCACCTGTACCCGTACCAAGTCCTTCAGCAGCTCCCTTAATTACTCCTACTTTTTCTGAGCTTCCTCTGTAGTAATTCCTACAACTCCTCGGGCACCTGTTCCATCTATTACTTATTCAGAACGAATTGCGGTAATTGGTCAAAATCATGTGTTAGAATTAGAGAATAGTGTAGCAAATGGTTGTGTGAATTTTACGTTGCTAAATAATTATATTGAATTCAATTTTTTAGTGACAAAGATACTAGTTACAACAAAAAGCTTTATTTATAGTCAATCTTTCACGGAAGAGCAGTTGAATTTTGTCCAACAAAAGTGTTTTTGCAAGTAGGAGAAAAAGACATAAATTCATCTTCTGTGTCAGAAATAGTGTTAATAAATCCAAAACATTCTTGAAAAACTGTTAAGAAAAGATTCGGTTTAAAAAATATTCATTGGAAGTCTGTTTAGGCAAATGATTTAATTGTGGAACCATGAATCCAGGAAAGTACAATAATTTATTCTACGGTTTTTGACATAAATAAAGCACTACAAAGAATTCTCAGAATATTTGAATAAAAACATTTGGCATGAGAATGGGAATAGTTTGAACAGAGAGGCAATGGAAATTTTTAGTCGACAGATTCAACTGGCGATGAAATGTAAAATTACATAAAATACCTATGCTTGGAGATGATCAAATATTTTCAGTTCACTTTCAACCAGTCCAGACTAAGATTTTTTCATAGTTAAAATTCAATCAAAACTTCTGTTATTTTATTCTGTGGTGTATTTTTTTTTTACTTTTCTTTTTTTTCTTTATTTCATATTTGTTTTAATATAAGGACAATTCAAAATGTAAACAACTGAAAAATTTAAGCATCTGAATTTTTTTTCTAAGAAAAGAACAGAAAAAGGTTACTTTGAAATAAAGTATCTATATATTTGAAAATTGATATATTCTTTTAATTTACTATTTCTTTCCAGGATTCAGTATTTTCATATTTTGACAATGATTTATTTTTTGTTCTCTTTGTATTTTACATATAAGTAATTATTATTTTTATTCTAAATTATAATTGTTGCTTTAAATTCAGAATTTGTCTAAAATCTCAAAAATAAGTTCAGTATTTTCATATTTTGAAATTTATCTAGTTTTTTGCTCTCTTTTTAACATAAAAGTAATTATTAATTAATTACCATTACTATATTTTTTTTTTAATTATTATTGTTCCTTTGAAACTTTTGGATATTTTTATATCTCTAAATTCAGAATTTCTCTAAAATCATCTTAAATTATGGCTCTACAAAAAGGAGGCCTCCACATGGCTAGAGCTGGTTACATTGAGATAATATGAATAATTAGTACAAAAATTCATATTTCATTAATGGCTAACGTCCTTACATTTTTTGTTAAATACTTATTACATAATTAATATTTTACTATTATCATTGTAAAACAAATATAATTGTGGAAATTATTATGAATTATTTTATTATTATCTATACAAGTATATTGACAAACAGCTCGCTTCGAATTTAGATCGGGCGTGGTGTACGGTAAACTCGTAATGGCGCCCGATTTCCGTCGATTCTGAGGTAAAATTGGCTATAAAAATATACGGATGTCAATATCATTCAATTAAACATCACCTTAGGCCTTATTGTACCCCATTACGTTCAATTTTATGGGGTTTCCACCACTTTATTGGGGTTTCACCCCTCCTGTATGTGTATTCTCCAAAAATCGGGGGGTTTCGGGTTTTTCCAGTCACCCTTCCCTAAATGCAACGCTCGAAAACGGAAGAACGATAACTCTTCTTTTTTAAAAAATAAATATATTTTTTAAAAAATCATAAACATACAAAAATGAATTGTCTACACCTCTGTTTTCAATTTTAAAAAAATAATAAAAATGTTTTCATCTTTATTTACGTCATTTGTGAAACACAAAAGTTTGTTTACAGGACAGAGGAAATTCGCACATGATCAAAGAAAGTGTCGAAAAATAATAAATAACATGCTAATTACACAAGATTTTTAATACCGGGGAAGGGAATTTTATGTAGTTCAACTTTAAACAAGCAATTGTTTGTTTATTCATCCGTTTTATTAAATTATGAATAAAAAATCTAGTTGTATCAAGCATGGAGGTCAAGGCACAAAATACGCTAACTTTGGGGGAGAAAAAGTCTCGATTTTTACAATAAACATATACTTTTTCGCAATACAATCTCTTTAAACATCTTTAATCTATCAAATTTGAGTACATACAGAGCTACGAAATAATCCATCACTTTGCACGAGCATATATTGTGGACCACACGTTTTTCCGTGAAAACAGCACTTTTTGAGTTTCTGCGCATGCGCCGTACCCCCGTTTGAGGGTACGGATATCCAACATCCGTTTACCCCCGTTTGACGGTTCGACTAGACTGGTCAAAGTATGCAAGTTATTTAAGTGGTAGGGCGTGGCCCCTTACCAATCATCACATAACGACAATGACAATAATACCAGTACCCCGTCTCTCTCTGGCTTCAGGCTCTTTCACGGGTTGCTAAGTTTATGAACTGAACTTTTCAGCCATTTGCGACGGTCTATCAACAAACTGCATGGAAGAGGCCTAATGTGTACATGGTCGTTACGGACGATTTTATGCATGTAAACACGTTGAAATTAAGACATTCTAATTGAAAAAAAAGTCAAATTATTTATCAATTACAGTGTTTGTTAAGAGACAAGGCTTAGCTGTGATAATAACTTACCGCTTTGCATTTTGACGTGCAGCTTCTGTAATTCGCAATTTCAATATACCCTGTATAACTTGTGACGTCACAAAAGGTGCTAGTCACGAGGTCGATAATTGGAGCTTTCGCAATGTTTTGATTTTCCAAGTATTTCACTATACTAAGTATGATATATTGTTATTAATATATACTCATTAAAATGTCGAAATCGCGATCGTGCGAATATTAAAGCTAATAAACATGATTAATTATCAAACTATGATTTAGGTCATGTTTTGTTTTAGAATGACAGATCTAGAATGTATCATACAGACCCTACCTATTTGATAAATACCAGATACAAAAACGAATTAAATCAGCAAATATTTTTCTAGCAAGGTAAATAAGAGAAATAAAAACTCGATTTTCATAGTTACACACCTGTCACACGTTTTGCACGGTGTCATAATGAATGACTAGTCTTATTTTGCATTAACTATAGTTCTAAATCGTTTCGACACTGTTTAAAAGATAGGCCTACGCTCTGTCATCTTCATTACACCCATCAGACATGGTTTCATTTTCATCAATCATAAAAAATAAATCTATTACTGTTTTACATTAATTTACAGAACAATACACTTGTCGTATATATCCCGATAACGACGAATCATTGTACCGAAACCATAAGAGCACATATGCATTACACATACTCAAACACAACAAAAATATGTACCTTTTCCAGCAGTGTTAGAGACGAGCTCCAGGTCCTGTCTATCTGATTCGGCCATCATGGCTTACTATTTGTATACCAACTAACAGTGCAGCGCACAAAACACCAAGCAGTAATGCCCGACGCAGTGTGCCAATGAATTACATTATAATTACCTCCTCCTTCCTGCGGGTGAACTTTTCCCGTGCTGCCGTTATACATGGCTCTGCTCCGAGATTCGTAGAAAAAATATTTGTTTGTCTATAATTTAAGAGATTTCCATTATATTTATAAACTTATATATTTAAATACTCCAACTATTTAATATTCACGCTGTGCATTTCATACTGATTACGGATCACCCCGATTAACAAATGCACCCTTTCATAAAGGTATTATACCGATTGGTAAATAATGTAAACACGTGTTACCAGGTGAGGATCTAATGATCGCAGTTCGGTGGATCAAAAAGAATAAAGGTATAATTAAGATTTGAATATGGACCCTAATTGTAGAGAGAGAGAGAGAGAGAGAGAGAGAGAGAGAGAGAGAGATCATAAATGGATTTAATCATAAGCAATCTAATTTAAATCAAAGCTAGATAATTCCTTAACATTTCAAACTGCAAATTACAAAAATAAATGCAACTCCAGACTCTGAGCAATTGTTTGCACATTTTCTCCAAATGCTCAATAAATAAAAGTCTTTAATTACATGTAATTTATAAATTTATGAAACACAAACTTGCAAATTTGAGAACTAGTGCTCCTAGGCCTACACATACACTTAGTAATCTATAAGCCCCAATCAATATTGTTAAGGTCTAGTTTTTTCATGCCCCCTCCCCCTTATCTACTCCTGAAAGTGTATCCTCCCACTTGAAGTTTGGTTGAAATTGGCCAAACAGACTAAAAAGTTTGAGAAAAATAATGTGTGAAAAGTTAACAGAAAACATTTATGAAAGACACTTACTTGTAATTCTAATTTAATTAGTAATTTATAATTAGCTCATATGAGTCTATAATATATAGAGTGAGATTTTCAAAATATATGACATTAATAAATGAGATTTAATCAAAATACACATTTCAGCAATCTTACTGTAATGCTCTTGCAAATAAACCTATCTCATGAAAAAAAAAGAAATGCATTTTTAAAATTTTTATTTCCAACTTTTGCCTCCATTTAAATTCCAATACATAATTTGTACATAACAAATGATTCCAGAAAGCAATACAAGTTATTGAACTGTGTATTTTATTTAATAAATCATTAATACTAAAAACATTCCCTGAATGTTGGAAATTGGCATATGTTCTTCCACTATTTAAGAAGGATGACCCCTCTATAACTTCAAATTATAGACCCGTCTCTTTGTTGAGTTGTGTAAGTAAAATATTTGAAAGAATTATTTTCAAACATGTGTACAATTACTTACATTCAAAAAATCTTTTTTATAAATATCAGTCAGGTTTTTTACCCGGGCACTCTACTGTATATCAACTTCTAGAAATATATCATTCTATTGTGAAAAGTATTGATGAAGGTAAATTCTGCTGTATGGTGTTCTGTGATTTATCCAAAGCTTTTGATAGAGTATGGCATAAAGGCTTAATTTATAAACTTCAAATGTATGGAATTAATGGTAAAATGCTAAAATGGTTCGAAAGTTATTTAAGCAATAGAACACAACAAGTCAAGTAATTGGTTATGTAAAAGCTGGAGTCCCTACTGTACTTGGACCACTCTTATTTTTGATGTATGTAAATGATGTTGCTCAAAATATGATATCTGTTTGTAGATTATATGCTGATGATAATTCTTTACAACAATGTTCAGATAATATTAATCATATTGAACAAAATCTTAATCAAGATCTTAAAGTATTACATGATGCCCCCTGTTGAAATTCAACCCACAGAAAACAAAAGCTGTATTTTTTCATTTGAAAGCTGTGCAACAATTTCCAAATCTAATTTTTGATAACTGTCAAATAGAATATGTCACACAACATACACATCTTGGGATACTTCTGTCTTCAAATATGGGATGGTCTGATCATATTGATATCATTGTAAAGAAGGCTTACAAAAAACTTGGTTTACTGAAAAAACTAAAATTTAATGTGTCAAGGGATATTTTGTCCCAGATGTATATTTCTTTTATCAGACCACAACTGGAATATGCAGTTGAAGTTTGGTCGGGGTGTAAAAGGCAGACATAGAAAAGCTTGGAAGGTTCAACTATTTGCTGCTAGAATTGTAACAGGTCTTACACTATATACTAAAATATAACCATTGGAAAATAGAAGAAATCATTAGTAACAATGTATAAAATACACAATAATTTAGTACCTACTTATATTCAAAATATAGTACCTGATATTAGAGGCAACATTTCACAATACTCTACTAGAAATTCCTCCAATTATTCCTTGCCAAAATGCAGATTAGAATTATTCAATAAATCCTTTATTCCAGATACTGTTAGAAAGTGGAATGCAATTAAAATTAACATAAGGGAGGCATTTTTTTAAAAAATGCTTGTCAAGCAATATTGTTAAACCTCCAAAGTATTTTTCTTTTGGTAAGAGATTTTGGAATATTATTCACACAAGGTTAAGACATAATTGTATTTTAAATTCTGACCTATTTCGCTGTAATTTAATTGACAGTCCGAATTGCTCATGTGGACAAATAGAGGATTCCTATCATTTGTTTTTTGTTTGTAGAAAATATGCAACAGCAAGATATTCTCTAATGAATAAGTTATTATCATTCAACAATTTGTACATTATAGATGTCCATTTGATGTTATGGGGTGTTGATTCATTCTCTGATCATGTAGAAATTTTTAAAGTTATTCATACCTTTTTAAAAGAGTGTGGTCGATTCTCTGAAAAATCTTAATTTTTTGTATATATAGTATTGTGTTCTGGTATCAAGAGTTTACTGTCTTTGACACTACAAATTGTTACCGAAAATAATTGTTCTTTATTTTGGCAATTTTATAAAAAATTTTGTATGAGGAGAAGACTATCTAAGTTGTCAGAACTTGTGTCTTATCCTTTTGGCTTTAATTGTCAATAAAATATGTTCAATTCAATTCAGTTATTGAATATTATATGTACATATATTATTAACTCTAATAATTTATCAGATGAGGTCATTTATCACTGCAAATCATAAACAAAACATGAATATAAAAGGAAACTACACTCATGACTAATTTCTCACTGAGTATCATTATATAATAGTACAATGTATAGACACTGTAAGATTGAGAAGACAATATTAAATAGAACATCATATTTGATCATGTAGATAAAATGAATGAAATAAAAATGAATGCTAAACAAAGAGAATTTACAATAAAGCTGCATCTAAAACATTACATATCAGATGGATCGAGTGTTTTATGTCTGATGAACACATCAAGAACAAGCAAATGGTGCAAATATAATTCATGAAAATTTCCCGGTTCATTTTAAAATGTTCAAGGATTCTATATAGCACCATGCACATTAATACAATACATAAAACCTTTAACTATAACACATTTTTATTACATAATAAGTAAAAAAGTACATTTTTTGCATTATATATCTATATGTATTGCAATTGCCTGACATCACAATAGCCAAATCAACTTCCAGGACTGATATGGATCCTGCAGGGCTAATATAGATTTATATCACACTCCCTGGAAATTAATCTTTAAAAACAATACTTGTAAAAATACACCTACACTTTTCCCATTACTTAACTTTCCAATTACTATTCTTAGATATAAAAAGGTAGTCATTGATAAGTTACTTGTTTATAATTGTATATGCTCAAGTAGGTGTGCACTGTATATGATTGCATGTATGTATGTATTTTATTATTTGTCTTTTATATGTAACATGGTTGTATATGCCAACATGTTTGGTGAATCAATAAAGAAATTGAATTGAATTGAATTGATTACTTAGTATGTAATAAACATAATAAAACATTAATTAAAGTACCCTTTTCCACATATTACATCCTGTGCTACTCTGCCAATATCAGCCCTTGGCCCTCTGGCTGATATTGGTGTCTCGGGCTGATACAGGATGTTACATGAAAAAGGGTATATATGCACTATTCTCTAAATAATGTTCCATTTCTAACAACACCTATTATAGCAAACAAATCACATTTGTATTTAATAATAATGACTAGATAATGAACATTGCACTCCAAAATTTGATTTCTATTGCAGTCAATGATATATAAATGAGTGTTTATTTTTCCTTTCGAGACATGAAAGACCGAAGCAGGTCAATGGGTAACGGGAATATAATGGTCGAGTTCTTTTCAGCAGAAATTGTGTTGAGGGTCTGTAGATATCGGAGTTGGAGGGCGGCCGGGGATTCCGTGATGACATCAGCGGCTTCCTTCAGAGCCCGTGAAGCCTTCTGTTCTCCCTCAGCTGCTATCACCTTAAAAGATAAATTTAAAATTAATATCATTATAGAAGGATTCAAAAGTAACAACTTAAATGTAGAAGTAAAACAAAACAGTATTTAAAATGATTTTTCTAAATCTGCCATTTCAAAGACAAATTAAATCATTGAGTATATCTGCTAATATGAATCTATGCTACCTGAGGATGTTGCCATATACAGTGTAAATATGAATAATCATTGCTTTTTATATGTAGATTTTTCAAGATTTTTTCATATACATTTATCTTCTATTGTAAAATTTTGATCACTATTGAGGCCCCTCGATCCCTAACCCCGGTGTCCTGAATTTGAAAAAAAAAATGAATCTACACCACCTGAAGAAGCTATTAATCATTGCTTTGCTGTTCATGAGGAGATGATTTTTAAAAAATTTCCCCAGGTATCCCTTTGTGGAACTTTGTTACCCATTGTGACCCCTCCCTACCCCAGGGGTCATGAATGATGATTTTAACAAACTTGGATATACACTACCCAAGGCTGGTTCTATATAATTATGAAAAAAAATATAAGAACAAACAAGGCTTTGCTGTTCCAGAGAACAAGATTTTTAATGATTTTTCCTCCTTTACATATTTGTATGTACTGGTAAAACTTTTAGTGGCACATTGTGGCCCCATCCTACCCATGGGCATCAAAATAGGAACAAACTTGATTCTAAACTACCTCATGTACTTCTTTATAAATATGACCAATTAAGGCTTTGCTGTTTTAGAGAAGATTTTTCCTATTTGTTCCTAGTATGTATTTAATGCTAGACCTGTGGGTCATGATTTGAACAAATTTAACTCTACAAATTTAAAATACACTATCTGAGGATGGTTCCACATAAGTTTCAACCTTTTGTGACAGAGTGCTTCTTGAAAAGATTTTTAAAAGTTGCCATAAATTTTCACTAATTTGTAATTATCTCCCCTTGGAAGGATTGCCATTCATTTGAACAAATTTGAATACCCTTCATCAAAGGATATACTTAAATGTGGCAAGTTTGGTTGATATTGGCTCAGTGGCATAAAATATGAAAAGACAGACAGACAGACAGACACACAGACAGGCAAATGCTGAAAAAATGTGATCAGAAGATCTCACTTCGTAAGATTATTTACCTTTAATTTCTATAAAATGCATGCAAAAATTCTTAAAAATGTCAACAGTTCATTCCCAAATTATGCTATAGGGATGTGAGGTATACTAACCACTTGGCGATTTTACTTAATATATACAATTTCTAACTGCAAAACATAATGACCAAAAGCTATGGCTTCATGGATAATGACAGGACGTTGGTTTTAAAAAAGGTTGAAATTAATCGATACTATTCAAAAGGCCTGCACAATGGATAGTGTCCAACAAAACAACAGAACATATTGGGACATCCACTACCTTTGTCTCTAAAGCACTGCCGTATCGACTGTAGTACCCAGTATTGTTTTATCTTTTAAAATTGCTAAAAACTTTAGTCTTTGAATCAATTGGAGAATTTAAACAACTAATTAATCAACACATAAATTGCTTATTGATCATTTCAGTGTGTTTTGTAGTTAAAATCTAAATAATTGATTGGGCCGTTTTAAAATCTATATATATCCTTAAAGATGTTTTACAAATTCTTGGTGCAATTTAAATGTTGACTAAGCAGTCAAAGCTTAAGGCTTCATTCTTCACTCTAAGTAAGGCACTGAAGCCAGAAATCTCTTCATAAGGGAGTTAAAGCTACAAAATGGAGGTTTCGATCTATACAAAAAATCTACCGGGGTAATTTTAAACAAGTGGCCCATGGGCCACATTGCTCACCTGAGCACAAAGGGTAGGAATATGTAGAAAATGGCTTTTTATTGTAAAGTTTAAATCCAAAAGTAGTGCCATGACCAATCATGGATTTGCTATTTTTTAGAAAATGATTTTTAAAGAATTTTCCTATATATATCTTTATAAACTTTGGTCGGCCATTTTGGCCTCGCCCTACCCCTGGGAGTCATGATTTGAACAAATTTGAATCTACGCTACTTGAGCATGCTTCCATATAAATATGATGAATTATGGCTTTGTCATTCTTGAGAAGAAGATGTTTAAAGAATTTTCCTATATATTTCTATGTAAAAGTTTGGTCGGCCATTTTGGCCCCGCCCTACCCCCGGGGGTCATGATTTGAACAAACTTGAATCTACACTACCTGAGCATGCTTCCATATAAATATGATGAATTATGGCTTTGTCGTTCTTGAGAAGAAGATGTTTAAAGAATTTTCCTATATATTTCTGTGTAAAAGTTTGGTCGGCCATTTTGGCCCCGCCCTACCCCCGGGGGTCATGATTTGAACAAATTTGAATCTAAACTACCTGAGCATGCTTCCATATAAATATGATAAATTATGGCTTTGTCGTTCTTGGGAACAAGATGTTTAAAGAATTTTCCTATATATTTCTATGTAAAACTTTGGTCGGCCATTTTGGCTCCGCCCTACCCCTGGGAGTCATGATTTGAACAAATTTGAATCTATACTACCTGAGCATGCTCCCATATAAATATGATGAATTATGGCTTTGTCATTCTTGAGAAGAAGATGTTTAAAGAATTTTCCTATATATTTCTATGTAAAACTTTGGCCGGCCATTTTGGCCCCGCTCTACCCCTGGGGGTCATGATTTGAACAAACCTTAATCTACACTACCTGAGGATGTTTCGCCATAAGTTTCATCTTTCCTGGTACAGTGGTTCTTGACAAGAAGATTTTTAAAATATGCCACCAAATTTTCATTAATTCCCAATTATCCCCCCTTGAATGAGGGCGCGGCCCTTCATTTGAACAAACTTGAATCCCCTTCACCCAAGGATACTTTGTGGCAAGTTTGGTTGAAATTGGCCCAGCGGTTCTTGAGAAGAAGTCGAAAATGTGAAAAGTTTACAGACAGACAGACAGACGGACGCCGGACAAAATGTGATCAGAAAAGCTCACTTGAGCCTTCGGCTCAGGTGAGCTAAAAACCCAAAAAGGCTATACCTACTGCACAGAAAAAGTTAAGACTTGTTTTCTAATACATCCTTGGTACCCACGACATGCGATAGCCAGTACACATTATGACATCATTATGATGTCATCAACCTCTACTACACAAGATTATAAGGAACATCAACAAAATTGCTTTGGTGCAAGGGCATACCTTATGCCCTGTTCACAAGGAGAGTTTAATTTGAATTAAATGTAAAGTTACTGCGAATTAGCTTTGCTTAGCATACACAAGGATAATTTAATTCGAATTAATTTAATTCGAATTAGATTACTGCGCATTAAATTACTTCGCTTTAACTCCGTGTGAAGGCTAAGCGCAGCTAATTCGAATTAAATTCTGATGCATGCATAATGACAAAATTTAGTCAAATGCCACTTGTCGGTAGTCAGCTATAGGTACTTGAGCTATTTTTGAGTGAAAAACTAAGAAAAATTTTGTAAAATTTTAATTTACATTAGTTTACTTCGCATTAGCTGACTTTTGAACGCAGTTTAATTCACATTAGTTTACTGCGAATTAAACTCTCCGTGTGATCAGGGCATAACTTTGTTTCACAGAAACAAGGTATAAATAGAAGCATATAAAATATACAATTTATGCATTTTATTCGCTCATTTGAATTACAGTATGCAGTGACTTGACGTCATATTCTATTCTGACATCATATCTATATAGTTCAGAGAAGTAACTACAGTTTGATATCTTATGGGCAGCCTTATTCTAGCTGCATGGAGGTCGCATATATAATTCTCTTTAGAATGGGAGAGGATTGTACATTTTGGCCGTGGTTTGCAATGATGTGGACTTTAGTCCTTTTATTGTTTTTACCTTAGCCCTGGCCTCTCGTGCTGCTTCTGCCTCCGCGGCCATAGCTCTCTGTAACTGGACTGGCAGTCTGACGTCCTTACTGTAAACAGATAGATCTGGCTCAGTAGAATCTTATCTCAGATCTTAACAGGTGCTAACACAAATATAAACACAGACCGACCTTTAAGCAATTTCAATGGAAGCAACGAGATCACTTTTTTAATGTTCAGGAACACTTGTTATACTTGTCAAAAATAAATGGCTTAAAAGTACAATGTTTTGAAAATGTAAACTCTCAAATGTTATTAGAACAAAAAAATCTTCTGGGTGTTAAAAATAACTTGCATGGCTTCTACTATACTAATATCTAAGATAACGAAATATTTATCCACGGCAAGGAAAAGTGCATGCAATGCTGTAAATCACCATGGAAATAAGAATCAAATGCAATTACTTTCTTTCCCTTGAGATAATTAACGAGCTAGACTCTTTATGTATAGCTGTCTAGTGTTTCATCTGTCAATAAGTATTCTAATATTAACTATACACTGCAAATCCACAGTCCCATAAACTGCGCAGGCATAAATGTTCTATCAAGGAGTAACGTGAAAAAATTAAAACAGAGACTGTATATAACTATTTAACATATTATAACTTTTTTGGCAGATTGAAAATACAATAACTTGTTGCATATGATAAGAGGTAAATTTTATTATATTTTTTAAAAAGACAATTTCCAATAATTATTTCTTAGCATCAAATATATTATTATAGAAAATAATAAATATATATGTAATAACTTAACTAAAGAGTTTATTTTCATTATTACAATGGCTTTTGAGTGTGGTTATTTTAGATTATTTTCTTTAAACTTAAGAAAAAAATTAATTCTTGTCATTGACAAAATATGCAAAGCCCAAAGACTCTTATACAAATGTAGTAATTATTCCATAGGAGTTATCTTCCTTTACTTACACTTCCACTCGTTCGACTTTTACCCCCCACGGGTCTGTACCCTCGTCCAGTGCACTCTATAGAAACAAAGGTGACAAAACTCACATTCAATAACACAGACAAAGCATGCTCATATAAAATAAAATCTTTTAAATTAACGGAATAGCACAATTTGGTGCTTTAAGTGCAAAAGTCCTCTCAAGAAACATGAAATCATATTTCAATTACAATAATTTTTTTTTAAACATTTCTCATGACAAGCTTTGATTATTCTCCCATAGAGAGGAATGTGACTCCCCTTATCAAAGTCCAAAAAGCCACAATGCTCACCCATTACACAATGGTGGTTTAATGTCCTATCAGATTAAAAAGGCATAATTATACATAAACACATTTCTCAGAAAAGATTTTGTATATATATCATTATTTTTTTTTCTTTAATTCAGCCTTAATTTCTGTACTACTGTCACTATTTGTGTCTCAAGCTTTACATTCCCTTCATTTTAGTGTTTTTGTTTTAGGTTTTTTGGAAGACAGACTGACTTATGGATGGACAATGAACAACTCGTGATCAGAAAAAAAAGCTCAGGTGAGTTAAAAGGAATTGTCAGCTTTTTGGTCTCCTAATCAGATTTTAAGACTTTTCAAGAAAGTTTATATGTACTCTACATCCAAATTCATAGGTTTTTTTTTCTTTTTTTTTTTTAAAAAGCTGATTAAGTTGTCAATGGCCTTAGATCCTAGCATTATACAGACTAACGATTGCAATGATTATAAACTTCAGAGACCAAGAAATCAAGTTCAACTTTTGCAATTCAACAATATAACAGTTAAAGAAATTATCCATAAGGAGAGATGGCCAAAGTGAAAAAAAGTGTCAATCTGTGTGTAAATTAATGCAAAGAAATGGTCAGTGCAGGGACATTTGAAAACATGAACAAACTACAGAGTCACTTGTGTTAGCAAGGATAGTTTGAAACACATTAACACAACAGCTAAACCATGCTACAGCCATGCCAATTTAAACTATAAAATAACACAGATTGGAGCTACAACATGCTGTAGAAAATTGGGAGGAAGAAAAACGACTTCAGATCCTACTTACATTTCCACCCTCTCTACCCGGATACCCCAGGGGTCTGTACACTCATCTAAATTACCCTGTCAACAAAATCAGTAAGTCCACCTCAACCAAGAAAAATTAGGCTTCTTCATACATGTAATTATGTAAGCATTATAGGGAGTGTCTGAAGAAAATTAATAAATCACAGAGGCCCAAGGGCCAAAAAATTCTGCAGACTTTGAAAGCCTTGATGCCAGAAAAGCACTAAAAATTATAGTGATAAAACTGTACAGTAAACAATATAAAACTTTAATCTGGCAATGTATCAACTTTGTTATATATTTTACTGTTAAATAAAACATAGTACACAGTGAACTGGTGGCTTTTTGAGATGGAGACCGATTGTACATAGTGTTAAGCCAGAAGAGAAGCAGTGATGAAATGGCGGGTGGGATTTTGGGGGACACATTTATAGTTCGCCCATTTTGCTGACAATTTTCTGAAGAAAATTCTTACTCTGCATTAAAAAAATATGAAACATATTCACAAAGCTCAAGGACAGTTATGGCAATAACTGAATTCAATGTTTTACAAGTCAGACGTATAACAACAATCCAACTGTACCAGGACTAAAGGTTCATTTATCAGACGTCCACATAAAAAGTTAACGTTTTGGAGAACTAAATATACAGAATCTGACGACAGACAATAATGATCAGATACTTATAAGATGCACATTAATATTTTACATGTACAATGCAATTTGTAGAGTTTCAAACTTAAATATCTGCAGTTTTGAATACAGTATATAGGTATTTTATAGACATAAATGAAAAACATAAGGACCACTGAAATGACCATTACCTGCATATAGTGACTGATTGTCTCCCTTTCGGACAGAATTTCACTGAGATTCTTGGTCCCCAGAACGTTTCTCAGTGTGGTGGCAGCCAGCAGACGTGTAGATCGGTTGGCATCCTCCACGTTTGTAATTGACATGGTGGCGTTCTGGACGCGGTAGTACACCACAGCATCAACAGCTACTGTCACAGAGTCCTTCGTCAGAACCTAATTACAAAATCTAATTTAGTCCTGAGACAGTATCTACAGTAAAACTTAGTTATTACTTAAACAGACAAAGTAAGGTTAAGGATGTTGGCAAAGTATTTGATAATCCCCAGGCAATTTTTTTTTAAATTCCAGGAAAATAAACTCTGATATACCTAGTTTAATAATGGAATAAATGGATAAGACAAAACTGACAGTTTTTCCAGTAGCTGAGGTTAAAAAGAATTTCAATATCTTATAATTCAAAAATTAGAAAATGGCATTATATTATTTAAGTACGTACATGTATATACATTTGAAATTCACTACTTTTGGGACTACCAAATCATTTTGACATACCCATGGTATTTTGGATATCGATATCAATTATCGATATACCAAAGTTCAACTGTATATGCTTGTTACAATTTTTTTTTTGACTACATTTTTAGGTCACCTGAGTCACTAAGATGTTCTTTTGCTATCTGCAAAGTTCTACGGCAATAAAAATATAACTAAACTAGAGCCGAGCTCGTTGCAAAGCAACGAGTAGGTCTTCCGTCCTGTTTGACCGGAAGTAACTTTCATTTAGAAAAAAAGAGTAATGAAGTCAAAAAATGGGTTAATCCTCCAAATCTATGTGAAGTATAGAAAATTAAGCCATTTTATGGTACTTCCGGTTTGACCGGAAGTGACGACGACGGACGGAAAATTAATATTTAAGCTCCTAGAGAGACATGTTACCCAAAAACCTGTCAAAAACGGCAAAAATATGCATTTCTGACTACTTCCGGTTCGACCGGAAGTGACGTCGCCGGACGTATTTTGATGACTTCATTAAATAAAGCTTGATATTTTGAACAACTTTGCTTCTTTGATGCGTAACAAATTCTCGATACTTTTTGAGATATCTGGAAAAAACTTTTGGCCCCTCTAGATCCCTTAATTTAGGGGTCAGCCCTTTTTTCGACATATCAATTAAAAGATCTTCTAATTCTGCACAAATTATGTTCTATATATTTTAACAAAATATTTTTAGTTTAGAAGATAAGAAGAAAAATATGAGTAATTTTTGGTTCTTTTAAGCGTTCTAATTTTTGACCCCTATATAGCGCCATTTTGAATACAGAAATCGAAAAACAAAAACCGATGTGCACAACTTCAATCCTTCTATTATCTAAAATCAGTAGAATTTCTACTCCAGCTTTAGCCGTCTCTGAGCCTTTGTCTGGAAACGAAAGCCTATAAATTTTTCTTTAAAGGGAAATAACTCAAAACCGGAAGTGGCTTTTTGAAATTTTAGACATTATTCTGATAGAGTTTATTAACGTCTATAACGTCTGAAAATTTGAGCGAAATCCGTTGAGAAATGAGCGAGATATGAGGCCTCAAAGTTGCAGTCTAGGAAGCAGAAGAAAAAAAAGAATAATAATCTTTACCAACAGAATCAGTAGAAGGTCTTCCGTTAGAAACGGAAGACCTTAACAAGCCTTTTTCCTTATTCATATACATCTTATCCCAAAGATCTGTTGGGGAAAAAATTTAACAAAAACAAGTCATAGCTGGCAGCAAGTTCATTGGAAAACAAATTGATAGTTTTAAGTGCAGAACTAAAAAATCAATAGACCTAGCCAAAATTAATCTCGATGCTGTCAAATTGGAAGACATTCCAAGTTTTTTTTATGAACAAAACATTTCTACTGGGATATAAATCTGTGAATTCTCATCAACCATTTCCTATAACCAAAGCAAACAAGAATTTTCAAATTATACTGTAATGATGCTGTGATATCTTGGAAATCAATATCTGCATTTCCATGGTTTAATACCACTGAGGGGTTGAAATCATCCCAAAGCTTTTATCCAAATCAGGACTAAGCACTTTTGCTGATGAATATGATAGAACATTTATGATAAAATTACTGATACATTTCTCATTAGTGAAAGTGTACAAGATACTGATTATTTAATACATTTTTTTCCTAGCCAAATTATTTCTAGCAGGAAAGGACATTGAGATTTTTCTAAAGAAACTCCTTTCCATCTGGAATCATCATTATTTCCACTAACAGTAAAACTTCATGGCTAGCATGTTACGTCTGAAGTAGATATACTAAAAAAAGCTTTTTATGTCAGGTATTAATATTAATTGTAAAACAACTGAAGTAATAAATAGAAGATATTTAATACTGTATGAGTATCAAAACATGATTTTCTCCAAATGCTGTGACACCAAAGCCTTTTCATCCTAAAATAAATTGGTTGATCAATTTCAAATTACAAAATGCAGAACAAAATTAAGCGTTTTTATTTGCATTTCCTGCAAACTTACTCTGAGGGGAGATAATTCTGAGACACTTTTGTGAGTATATACAGTGTATTTTCAATCTTTCAATTTTTGATTTTTAGAACCTGGGGATCAGACTACTGTAAGATATAGTCCATCATTAGATACACGTCTTACCTCCTGAGGAGGAACATCAAATGACACGGTTCTTATGTCCACTTTGGTGTAAGAGTCGATGCAGGGGATGATGAAAAACAAACCTATTGAATACAAAAATTTAGTTTGATTCAAAAAGGCTACTTCTATACTGAACTACAAAAATTGATTTGCTTCTTGATCATAATAGTAACATGTATATTATAGTGTTTTTTACTCCATACTGATTACCCTTTTATCACACATCCCCCCCTCCCTTCTTATCCCATGCAATCACTTTGTTCACTCATGCAAACTGGATATTTTTCCACGTACCACTTTTGTGACATCAAAATGTTTCTGCATGAAAGTGATGACATAAAATAATGTTGATTCATAAATCAAAACCATGTAAGATGTTTGTAAAACACTTATGCCCCCTCCCTAAATAATTAGAATTTTTCTAAGTCCAACTAAGGACATGACTCTGTCAAGAATGATTCAATCGTACCCAAAACAGAACTTGACCTAGATATTTTCATGATAAATCTATATACCAAATTTCAACAAGTGCAACCTCTGCAAAGAAAATGAACAACAGACCAACCAACAGCAAAAAGCAACATGCTTTCCCTTCTTTGAAGGGGGCATAGATATTGAAAGTTATGTTAAAAAATCATGGGATAAAATGAACCTCTTGTAATTTGTGGTTGGATATGAATTTTATCCAATCATTGTATACATGTTATTCCCAAGCCAAGGCTCAGAGATAAAAACATAACACACTGGATATCCTCAAGAAAAAAATGGGTGGGTGGGTATGTAGATGGAGCCTATTTTTAATTAACTTCCAAATATGATGTTTAAAAAAAATACTGATGGAATAAGAAACTTTAGTATAAATAAAATAAAATTATATTCTATTATATTGTATTAGAAATCATAAAAACATATAAGAAATACCAGATACTAGCTTGTAAATTCTGTATGTTACCCATTTCACAGTACTACTGCTTTCTCTCTTAAAACCAACTTTCATTTGCAACTTCTTTCAATTTTGATCTCTAGTAACTATTAATAATTTGACTGTGATAACTTGTTTTATTTTAAATGATTTGTTATGCAAGATAAATAATTAAACCACAATCATGAAGATAATGTTCATTCTGCTCTATAATTACCTGGTCCTTTTGCACCCCCTGCAATCAACCGACCGAGTCTGAAAATGACTGCTCTCTCATATTCCTGCACAACCTAGTCAAAGAGAAAGTATAATACATGTAAGATTTAAATTACCGGTATACTAATTTCATATTCTTAGAATACCCAGAAAGATATCTTTAAAGTGCTTTAATTACCTAGGAACAATTATTAGTATACTAAATTTTCTGTAAAATACAGTTAAATTTTAAGACATCTTCTCCTCATCACTTGCTAACAGAAAACAGTGTCTGTAGAATAAAGTAAAATATTATTCTCCTATGACTTTGAACTTTTACAAGGACTTTTAATCAACATCCTGACACATCCTCAGGTCATAGGTCATACGACCAAGTCATGGTTCAAACAGGAGTACAAAGAGAGATGCATAGACAGATCCTCTGATTTTTCATAAGCCTATAGTAGACCAATGGTTTTCTCCATGTATCCCCTCCAAAAATAAATGTTAGCAGGGTGGGGGGTTGGGTGGTTATTTTTATGAGTGGTGTATGATAAACGGAAACAATGATGTATCATGTGATAAATAGTGACACCAACTTGTACCTTAAATCAGATGACAGTTGTATAAAAGTCTGGCTACCCCGGGTATGTGGTTTCTGGTAACTCTGTCTGAGTTTTATTTCCCTGAGAGCTTCAGTCCTATAACTTAGACCTTTACTTATATTAAAGTGTGATGACTGCTGAACTAAATATAAACAGTTACTGAAGAAATGTTGTTAAAAACTGGTCTGGAAATAATATTTCTGATAAATATGAGTCAGAGTTATTTCCCTTGAACCACATTTTTTCCTGAGAGATTGTGGGAAAACTAAACACAGCTTTCATCTCACTCTTTTTAAATTGATTTGTTGCTCATGAATTGATTAATCATATTAAATCAAATCAAATCCAGTTTTATTATTCTAATGCAATATTCTGAAGAAACCAGAAGTCTCTGTCGAGACTATAGCTCTACAGTACTGTTTTCTCGACTTATAATAAAGGAAGATAAAAGTAACAGTTGGGACATAAAACTTTACAAAAGCAATAAGTAGATTAATGATCCTCGATTAAGTCTCTTTTTGTGGAAAGATTGCAATAAGACTACAACTGTAGGAGTAGCTTTTAATAAAATTTTACAGAATTTTCAATTTAAATTACTATGGCAACATCAATCATCAAAATCAAAAACACAAAACTGATAATGTATCTCAGTGTAGTCTACTTGCATGCCAAATTATATTATAATCATGCAGACTCAAACTGTATTTGGAGTACCATTTTGAAAGTATTTCACAGAAATTTCTATTTTTAGTAACAAAGGCAACACTGTTCATTGAAATTCAAAAACCGATACACAGAATTATGAATCTTAGTGTAGTCTACTTGTGTGCCAAGTTATACTGAAATCAGACCAAAACTGTAGGAGACGTAGCATTTTGAAAAATTGTTTACAGACAGACAGATGGATGGGCGACGGACGCTGTGTACTTTTTTGCACAACAATGGGTATCAAGATTGTTCTCAGTACAGTGATGTACAATTTATACCAATCACCAGCATCATACCATTAATCTTCGGCAACTTCTTCTCCAGTTTTTTTTCGCTATCTAAGTAATATTGAGCAACTAATTCTAATCCAATTACAGTAAATTAAAAGGGTGAGAAATTCTGAGTATTTTCTACTAGCTATAAATGCCCCATCTTAAAAAGCAGTACTGAATACCGTACATTACCACATGTTGTGTATTAGAAAGGAATGCCATTATATGAGCTTGCCACACAAATGAAGTCATCTGAGGTTAAGCACAGATGCACTTGTTATAACTGCCTTAGATCACTAATATCATCTGAAGTCGGTAATAAGATAATTAAAGTAATGAGAGAGGTGTTCTCAGCTAACTGTCATGCCAGCAAGCAATATTTCACATAGCTGAAGTGGTGTGGTACTGTATGGGCATTAACACATGCTAAAATCAATATAAATTTCCAATAAAATAATGGTAAATGGTTCCTCTGCAGATATAATCACAAATATGACATGACAAATTAGATTAAGTAGAAAGCTTTCTTTAGAGTGCCATTCATTGTGTGTATCTATATATGTATATATAAAGTTTTATTGAAATTATACCAAAACTAAGTTGTTTTTTTTAAAATGTAAAATAATTAAATGAAATACTTATCTTAATACCTTCTCACTGTTTACAATAACTGGCATTTTCACCTTTAAATTGCCAACACAAGTGGACATATGTGATTGTAACTGGCAAGGGGGAAAATGCAACAAAGCAGACCAAGATTTGAACTCCAGCCACCCACCTGTCCTTTTTCCTCCCTCCTTGAAGGGCTTTGTCCCCAAAGACACTAACCCATGTTCTTCCCCGGCAGTCTTGTACCTGTCAATTTCAGGGCACTGTATGACACCAAAGGTAACAGGAGAGGGTGAAAAAATGGGAGACAGTTCAGACCAGGATTTGAGCCCAGGTCTCAGAATCACTAGTCAGGTCAGCTTTACCCACTGAACTATCTGGCCATTGGCAATCAAGCCTGCCTGACCAACACATTATCTCAGAATCCACTGAAATCTATTCTGATAGATATTGAAATACAAACAACTGCTTAATATACAAAATCGAAATTTATAACTAGAGTATAATTGTTTTTGATGTGAGCATGGCAATAGAAGGTAATAAATAATGTATATATTGTAGTTCATCTATGAAAGGCTTTTCAGCCTATATCATGTATACAGTGGAGCCTCATTTATCCGGACGCTTTGGTTCCCAGTCAATTTGTCCAGATATGTGAAGCATCCGGATACCTGAATCACCAATTACACAAGACAAAATAACATTAAAAAATTCCGTTCTGATGAAAAATATATATTCTTCACTATATTTTGGGTCACTTTTGCATTGTCTACAACCATTAGTAGATGCATGTCTGATTTTAACCTGAATGCAGTGCACCATATTTTGACAACTGCACAAATCTTATCTGGCAGCAATAGAATTACCAAACATCTGAACAGATGTAATTTCTAGAAAACTCCTCTCAATCACTGATCCCAATAATGTAAAGTATTCATCTTCTCTGGCTGCTGCCTTTGATCATAAGAAATCCAGATGCCAGACTCCAGAATAAAGCATACTTGATGCAAATACAAATAAATATTTTAGACATATTTCTGTCTCAATGTTTATGAAATTATCATCAATTTCTGAGTTTAATACTGTCATTCCCGAACAATGACTTAATAATTTTAACAATAAACTTGTGAATATTTTAAATGTTTTCCTTTTTCTCACAGCTCTATCAATACACTCTGATTTCAAGTTAATCTGGTTATGATTTAATTAATTTATTTACCTTGATACAGAGACAGAGGGAGAATGGGAAGGTGAGGATGATGACTGCTACGGACAGGAACCACAGGATGTACCCACAGCACCCCACGTCCCCTCCGTCCTTAGGGTTAGAGTCATCATTAGCACCTACAAACAAAAAGACATCAAAATCAAAAGTTAGAACAAAACTAAATGTTACCAAACAAAATCAAAAATCATTCCCTCCATCCTTAGGGTTAGAGTCGTCATTAGCACCTACAATAGAAAAGATACAGATCAAAATAAAAAGTTACAGAACAAAATCACAAAACAGAGATCCCCTCCATCCTTAGGGTTAGAGTCGTCATTAGCACCTACAATTATAAAGATTGAATCAAAAGTTACAGAACAAAAGTCACTAAAGCTACAGATCAAAATCACAAAACAGCCATCCCCTCTATCTTGAGGGTTAGAGTCTTCATTAGCATCTACAATTATGAAGTTATAGAACAAAAATCACAATACATTCATCCCCTCAGTCCTTACTTTAGGGCTATCTAGAGTCTTGATTTAATTAGCATCTACAATTATACAGTTATAGAACAAAACCATACAATACAAAAATCTTTTTCAATCAATAAATAACTTTTTTTTCAGTTGCATAAAAAAATGTAATTCTACACAGAATTTTTACATTTGAATGGAAAACCATTTTTACCTCCCACAACACTGTACTCCATTGTCAATTATCATCAATGGATGAAGATGTAGTATGCTGTTTAAACCTTAAGTATTGAACATTATCAATCATTTACACATAGTGTCACTATGTGCAGACTGTTCATTTTCTGCACAATGATTATGCAATGAAGATCAAACACTAGAAATGTGTTACATATTCCGCATTTACAGCAACAGGTCAATAGAAACTCAGCTCTATCAAACAAAACTTACGGAATTGTCTCCGACATATTAATTAGTACAACTTACAGTCTTTCATATAATCCAAAGAACTCCCTTGCTGGTTTGGTTCCCCCATATTTTTCTGACTTTTCTGATCAATATTTCAGAAATATCTTGATCACAGATCAATAGACCCACACATCATAAGGGACAGTGTATATGATACTGCTACCGTTTTTGTTCTAATAGCTGTAACATTAATAAGAAACAACTGGGGGTGTGATGCAATGAAAACAACAGACAACTGCTTTAATTGTATAAGCCCCTCAATAGCAGCTGCTGACAGGCTGAGGAGAGGGAAGCCAGAGAATGACTTGCCTGCTGAGGATCTGGGGGATTATAAAGCTCTCCTCCTGTGTACCAGACTCCCTGACTCTCCAGTCTGTTGGCAGTGTATCCTGGTAAATGTATCCTGGAATTTACTGTGGAGGTGTCCATGAGGAATAGTTAACTTGCAAAGCCCAACTTATACCAAAGAGAACTTCAATTCCTAAATTAAATAACACCAATCTTTCTGTTTTAAAATTTATAAAAATTGTGTAACATTTACATGCTGAAGGTGATAAGTTTTGGGAAATTCATACTGAAACTGATTATTTAAAAAGAAAATGATCCAACCATATTTTCACTATAATTTTAAATTATCTCCCCTTGAAAAAAAGGTTTGGTACTTTTTTATTATCAACTCTCTTGCATATATTCACATTAGCAAAGGCCAAGTGGCTTACACAAGTAATACCTGCAGGTATATTAAGGCCAGTATACACAATGAGATTTGTAGTATAATGCAAGTATTATAAAACTTTTGTATTATAATACTTTCCTGTACTCACCCTAATACATATCTTATAAGATTGTACATAAAATACGTATTCCAACGTGTTTTACCCCGCCATATTTCTCTCTCTGTCAAAGTAATAAAAATGAAGGATGAGGCTCTGATAGCAGTGTCTATCATAATACTATGCACTGTTTTATATACTCCACAAGTCCTTTTCCTTTCCCATTAAGCTGCGAGTTTTTTGATGTCTTTACTTGTAAAGTCTATCGTTATTATTTACCATGTGCTTTTTTTTTAGTAATGATAAAAATAGGATGACCCCTAGTGTCATTATATTTCATTGGTTGAAAGTGATAGGTAAGCTAAGACTTGTATTAGAAAATAAAGCATTGCTCTATTCTTAATAAAGTTTTATAAGATTCGAAAAATCTTATGATACACTGTATTAAGAGTGTATACACAGTAAGATTTTGTATTACAATACAAATCTTATACCAGTAATACAAATCTTACCGTGTATACCGGCCTTTACAGGTAACATAGAGGAAAGACAGATAGATGCCTTATACTCTTTGATCAAAAGAGCCTTTGACTAAAGTGGACTTAAATCCCCCCCCCAAAAAATCAGTTTTTCCTCCACCTTAATTTCAATTTTTGTATCAATTTGAAAAGATGACTTTAGGGTTCAGTATTCAATGGTACATGCAAAAACTAAGAGAATAGATTTGCTCCAGATTCAATATAAAATGTCAATTAAATCATAGTTCATCAACACATTTGTTTACCTGTCTATATGTATTAATGGCAATATTGTGATGATGATTTGCCATGGCTTGTGACTTTACATACACCTTTATTGAAATTGGTAAATAGCACAGGTGACTGGTATCAATCTATTGGGAAATCTTTAAAGGTCCACAACAAATAAATCCTATTAGAAATTTCCTGACAGTGAGAGGCATATTTAATGTACATATTTTAAAGTTTGAGACTGAACACATTTCTTCACTGCTTGGATATGAGATGAAGTTTTATTGTTGACACTTCAGTCCAAATGTTTGAAAAATAGTCATGATGGATTAGTGCAATAATTGGTAAGTGTTAGGATATGTTTCAGCTATACAGATAGGACTACTATACAGACTGTATTCTTTTCATGTATCCAGGGTATATATATTAGTACAATGAAATTTACAATTACAAGTGTACAACTAGGAAATGTAAATATTTCTTTTTTTTTCATTCGATTTAAATGTAATCTTTTAAAAATTTTCTGATATTCATGTACACCTATATTTTGCTTTCAAAAACAATTTGAGTTTGTCTAAATTTCTTGCTTCAAAATGCTCAAACTTGTTAACTTAATTCAATCTAAGACAGATATTTGAAAACCCTCTAAAATGGAGGGCGAGGAAAGCTTTGAGCTGACCCAGGGTAACTCAGGGTACCAACAGCCTGGAGAAACGACTCCCAGAGATGACAGTGAACCAGCTGAGAGGGGACCAGCAGGGAATTCTCAGGACAATGTGTCTAAAGACAACAATGTCCAGTCTTCAGCAGAGGACAAGACCCAGTCTGCAGCAGATGACACAGATGGAGACACACTAAAGGACTCACCAAGGAAAGATGCCAATGCAACAGAGGAATTCAGTGTTTCACATGAGGAAACTTCCCAACACAGAAAGAAAAGCAAGAGGAAGGTATGCAATTCTTCAGGTCACCTCTAGTTTTTAAAAGAGAGAGAAAAATCACAGTACAGAAATCAATTTTATTGCAGAGTTTCTTAGCTTCTTATTTTACAATTTTTTTAAATTAATAATTCACAGAAAAAGAAGAGGAAGAAAGATATTATAATAGCCGCAAATCAAGATCTAGTGGTGAGTACATTAGTAGTGGTTCATTTTTTAATTTTTAATTTTTTTTTTTGGGGGGGGGGGCTTCTTAACTCCTCCTTTCCTGTTAACTTTGAATACTGCAGGTATTATTACAGGTGTAAATTATAATTATGTTTCAATAGTCTATAAGCAACTTTAAGTAGTACATGTTACTTGGATTATTTTGGATTTGAACCTTAAATTGCCCTGACCCCAACAAAATATTTGTGCTCTTTCAACTTCATTGCCAAAGAACATAGTATTGCACACAGACTTAATCATTAGTGGCTTCTTACACAAAGGTTGGAGAGAGGGCATAGATACTAATGAAGACCCAAATATTTTCAGGAAGAAAGTCAAGCATCATCAAGAACTGAAGATATACAAAAGCAGAATGAGGAACCAATAGTAATAGCTCCTATAGATATGGAGAAGAGGAGAGAAGTTATAGCTCCTATAGATATGGAGAAGAGGAGAGAAGTAATAGCTCCTATAGATATGGAGAAGAAGAGAGAAGAAGAACAGAAGATCAAGATGAACTGGGTACTCTTTTTCATTTGAACTGAGGCCATCTTTAAAAATTGTTTGGTTGCCCTCTCCTTACCGACTGTCTAAAAATAGCCTGATGTAACTTTTTTTTTTACATTCCAGGACAACATTTTTTTGTTGTAATTCTCTAATCCCATCAACATATATGTTGAAATATTTGGGATAAAAGATTTTCCCATGCACCTTCCTACCCACCCAATAATTTTACCCTGAGTCTAGCTGCAGAACTGTAGCTCTCTGCTTGAGAAAATTCAGACAGATAAAGCATTGAGAGCTACAGATTCATGCGTTGTAAAAACCTTCGATTTACGCAGACAATTTCTTGTCGTCCAGCGTAAATCAAAGTTTTTTTTACAAAGCATGAATCTGTAGCTCTCTGCATTATCTGTCCGAATTTTTTCAAGCAGAGAGCTACAGTTCTGCAGCTACCCTGAGTCAAGAGAGGGCAAGCAAACATTATATCTCAAACATGGTCTGAATTAATACATTACAGTAAACTTGCTTAAACTGGCCAAAAGTGGGTGTGTAAACTTTATCAGATATTAGACAACAATATATATATATCTTGACAAAAATTATTTGTAGACTTATCGATAAAGTACAACATACTAAGAGTGCTTCCTTTTATGAAAAATTACAAGAAGAGAAAGACATGACCTTAATATTCTTCCTTAACAATGTAGTTCAAAATATCTATGAAATGACTACTACAGCATATTAAAGTACTTTATTTTACTTGCAATATGCATCTAGTATGTTACATGTACTAGTATTAGGATAATGTTAGATGACCCAATCATTATCCCTATATTATGTTCCTTTACTCAAATTTCTTTCATTGTTCATATCTAACATTAATCAAAAAGGTTATTGTATATTTAAAATTGAGAGATCCATTAATCTGTAAATAAGAATGTTTCTTAAAAAAAGGTTTTACCCCTTATGCTGATAATTTTGTCCTCTTCTTTGAACCGTTTATAATTTTGAGCCATTTTTGCTCAACTTGTTCCGCTGTCAAAGTATTAAGTCAACATCACCTGATTCATTTCCCTGCCATTACGAATGCTTAAATCACATGTATAAAGTAACTGACATCAAAAAATTGTATTAAACTTCCTTCTACTCAGGAAGTCCAATCTGAAAACAATATATCTATTTAGGTAATATGTAGAAGCATCAGTTATCTGATAACAGGTGACTTTATATGATATTTTAAAATGTACATTAGCATAACACATATACACAAATTAATTCATGAATCTTCATTATGTCATCTTTATAATTGTTTATTCACAAGCTTACCAAAGTCTCAGGTGGCAAGATATTATGTGAGAATATATCAAACACATTATTTAATTAGACAAATAAATAACCAGCTACATTTTAATATGGTACTGAGCAGTGTATTTTATTCAGTTTAATTTTTTAATTGGTGGTTTGATAATCTCTATCAAAGCATTTTTTGTTACTTAATACAAAATATATAATTATCTGTATAACACTCCCAATACTTTGTTAGATTCCCATAAATAGAATTCTCTCCAGGAATTTTAAATGATTGAGCCAATATTTAAAAATTTTTAATTTCATTTTTACTGCTAGTGGATATCTTCCTAATTCACAATATATGAAATTATTAACTGTTTTCTGACCCACTAGGAAGGCTAGGAAGGAAGTAAAAATTAATTACTCTCATTTATATTGAGTTCAATAAGTAATGAATTTATTATTTATTGGTCAGATATCAGATTCTTTTTTTTTAATTCGATCATCCTAAAAAGTCAAAGTAAAAATTATTTGTACTGAAGAAACTGTAAGGTCAAGGTCAAAGGTGTTGCTACCTAAAAAAAAAGTCTTGTCACAAGGAATTTACCTATAAGATAGAATGTGTAGTTCAAACTTATCAAGAGTTATGGCAAGATTAAACTTTTTGCATACAAACAGACAGATCTAGATGGACAACAAGGTAAAAACTATATTCACCTGCACTTTGATTATGAGGGGAATTATTTATACCTTCATGAAGAGTGTAGACTAAAAACAAATTTCTTGGCATTAAATAATTAAGAAAGAGAGAGTAAATAAATCATCCTGACAGACTTAAATAGTTTAACCTTAAATCTCCAAATGTGCTGTTAAAATCTGCATGTTTTTGATCTCCAAATCACTTACATATATGATGTCTCACCTGCTCAGCTATCATGCTAATGTCAAGGCCTAATGTGACATTGTGTTACGAAAAGATGGGGCAAAGGGAAAGTCAAAGAAATGTGACAAACAGAGAAAATTGAATGTTTTGTTGATGATGTGGAATCTAAAAATTTCATTTGTGAGACAGGATTTTCTTTTTTCCACGTCATAACATATGATGTAAAAAAAATCTGTCTCACAGTTGATATAAATTCCATATTCAACTACGTGTACAAAATAATGCTTGTCAAGGAGCATTTTCTTTATATTTTAATTCATGGGAAAGTTCAACTATGTCATACATTATAAGTATTCCGTTTTGCACTTACCACTGATCATTGTTGGCTGCTGACAAAAATAGTCAGTCTAGGAAATCCAACTAAAACACAGTGTTTTATGGCAAGCAACAGAACTACAATCCCAATAAGCGACTCTTTACATACTGCCCAAAAATGCTTTCAGAACTTGTGTTCTCGAATCTGCTCCCTATGAAGCTGCCCTAAGCACATCAAAGAAAAAGCGGGATTCTAACTCTGTTTATGCACAAATTTACACCAGGAGAAACAATAAACATGATTAGGAACTGTCTTATTATAGACATTGTGAATTATTCATAAAATATGTACAAACATAGTTTATCATAATCAAATTATGGTCCATAATTTGATTATGATAAACTATGTTTCCATTGGAAATACAGATATAAAAGTTATTGCACTGGGGATGCAGCGAATTATAATGCGCATTGGCATTAGAGTTATTCCTCTTACTACATACGTTTGCATCTTGCAGTTTATATTGACTGTTGAGACGATGACACAATGTCGAATGATTGGGATTGATAATTTGAAATGAATTTGGGGCTGCTAAATTTAATTCCATGTTAACGCGCCAACTGTCTTACCTTCTTCGTTTGGCACCAGGATGAATTCTTTACCCGCCATCTTTCTCCCAGTTGGTCAGCATGTGGAGTCCCCTGGGATGCGATCTGTACTACAGGTAGTCTAACGAGATAAGGCACATATGGGCATTACATGACATTAGCGGCTTGCGATGTTCATCTGGGGTCCTACATGCAGAGTCATTCAGTTGAGGGCGATAATAGGATCTAGACAAGGGAATCTGTGTGGTACATGTGTATTGGTCAATTTGTTGCTGTATTCATTTTACGGTGCTATAAATCAGGACATTCAGGGCACATAATCAAAGGATAAAAAAATCATAACATTAATTTGAAATGATTTCAATCATTCCTACAGCTAATCTTCAGTCTCTTCGATTTCTGAGGAAAAAATGGAAAAAATAACCACTTTGAAGTTTGCTTTGAAGGACTTTGGAGTATCGTTTGCTAAATTGAAGGCTTTCAGCATCTACCCCCCCCCCCCACACACACACACACACAAACACACAGTTTGTTGGAGTATACATGTAGATAATTAAGTCATGGTTATTTGGTTATGTATGAATATAATTTGATTTTGAAAGGAAGTTTGAATCCAACACCCCCACATCCCATGAAAATAGAATTTTTGAGTTTGGACCCCCCCCCCCCCATTTGCCTTTTATTTTTCTTGTCACAAAAAGTTTTGTTTTTTTTCAGGTAAGTAGTTAATATTTTTCCCTCTAGCCCTCTAGGTGCCCCTTAACTGTGCTTGGTTTAATTATACACTCTCCTTCCCATGTATATATTGTTTGATTTTGATCTTCTTGTGTGAGCTAGAATAATGTGTGAATTTTATGAATTGAATTGGGGGTTAATGGAGTGGGATATTCATGTCAAATAGCCCCCATCCCTGATACTATATGCTTAGTTAATTTTTAAAGATTTTTGAAGTTAAAAAATCTTCAATGTGGTAAATGCATATGAGGTACCGGTAGTTTGAAAGATTACTATCTCTTTCTCTCTCAATATCTTCATTTAATGCATGGAGAGATTTGTAATTAAACATCAAACTTTATTTGTTTTCTAAAAATTTAGCATATTATATGTTTTCAAATTGAGAAAAAATACACTTTAGAGTTCAAAACTGCATTAAACTTGCACTTTTAAAGTATCACAAACTTATTACATTACAATGCCAATTGTCGAAACGGTAACAACAAGCTCTAGGAAGCTGACTTTCAAACTGACAATAAAAGGGCAGGTTAGTAAGGGCAGAACTGGGGAAGTATTGAGAACACATGTGAACCCTTACAGGAAATCATCAGGATTATAGCAGCCATCCTCTAAGGTTCTTCATTTATTGATTTCTAGCTCAAGAAAATTTGGTCTTTTCACATCCAAAG